GTATGTCGATGACATACTTCTGATCGGGAATGATATACCGAACTTGCAGTCAGTAAAGACTTGGTTATCCAAGTGCTTCTCCTTGAAGGACTTAGGGGAAGCAGCATACATCCTTGGTATAAAATCGTGATAGATGGCGTTGGTTGCTTGGCCTAAGTCAGAGTGATATTGACAAGGTACTGAAAAGATTCAGTATGGAAGAATCCAAGAAGGGATTTCTTCCGATGTCACATGGTGTTTATCTCTCTAAGGAATTGTGTCCCAGAACACAAGATGAGAGAGATAGGATGAAAAGGATCCCATATGCATCAGCAATTGGATCCATCATGTATGCCATGTTATGTACTCAAATTGATGTCTCGTGTGCTTTGAGCACTTGTAGTAGATATCAATCGGATCCAGGTGAGCATCACTGGATGGCTATCAAGAATATTCTTAAGTACCTGAAAAGGACTAAGGATATGTTCTTGGTTTATAGAGAGGAAGGTGAGCTCACTGTAAGAGGATACAGTGATGCTAGTTTCCAAACAGACAAAGAGGATTATCGATCGCAATCAGGGTTTGTATTTTGTCTCAATGATGGTGCAGTGAGTTGGAAGAGCTCCAAGCAAAGCACTGTAGCGGACTCTACAATGGAGGCTGAGTATATTGCATTGTCAGATACGGCCAAGGAGGCAGTCTGGATTAAGAAGTTCATTATTGAACTTTGTGTGGTTCCCATGATTGTTGATCCTATAGACATCTATTGTGACAACAATGGAGCAATTGCTCAAGCCAGGGAACCACGGTCTCATCAGAAGTCCAGATACATACTCAAGCGATTCCATCTCATCAGAGAGATAGTTGAGAGGAAAGACATGCAAATTAGTAAAGTACATACTGATAACAATCTCGCAGATCCACTGACAAAGCCTTTGTCACAGCAGAAGCATGAAAGGCACTTGAGATCATTTGGTATTAAATACATGAATGATTGGCTATAGTGCAAGTGGGAGATTGTTAGAGTAGATGCCTTAGAGCCAATCAATTATTGTAGAATTGACTCTTTGCAATAATGTTCATTAATCAATCAAAGGCATTTTACTCTATATGGCGTAAATCATTATTATTGCAATATGTATTGATATATGTCCTTAGAATGGTCAAACCATGACGAAGGTATCAAATGTTTCAAATCTTGATAGTGAGAACCCTATGAGCACATATGGTGGCCATTCTAGAAACATCCGTAGCCCTAGTATTATTCTGAAGTAAGGGCATAGATAATACTAATCGAAAGCCAGTGACTGATCTCACTTGTCAAGGTTGTTTGGTGACAGCCCGGTGCAACACATGGGTGCTTGCTGTAGGCGAATACACTGCAGGAAGTTCACTAGACTGACCCACCAGAGGATTCCATATGGATGGTAACCCTAGTGTCTATGGAACAAATCCTCTAACGAATGGTGGTGCATGTGATCCTTAGACTTGAGATCATCGGAGCGCCTTGTGCACCGATTGGTGCAGATTGATACTAGCCTAACACAGTTCTTTTCAGAGTTGTCAATACGATAGTTATTTGCTGCATCAAGGAGTGTATCAAGACTATGGTGGATAGATAGAGGATTCATCACTCCCAGGTACGGGAGAAGTTATCTAACGGCGCAATTTAGTAAATGGTAATGACACTAAAACTGTGGCCACAATGGGATTGAGTTGTTGCTCTCTCCAATTTATAATACAGGTCATTGGTCCAGTAACTGAATACATAATATCAAGAGTAACTGGAGGTTGACACTATATCTATGCCTTCGTCTCGTCGAGATAACGTATGATGAAATGATCGAATTGTACGGTAACCATATCGTTGATAGGTAGCTAATTTGCTAAATCTAAATCTATCAGGTGGTCATGATGCCTTGCTAGGGGCCAATCTTGGTCTGTGTATAGTGAGATGATTAATTGGTATTAATCGCGATACTATACACTGCCGGTATGATGAGGAGCCTATGGGTCACACACATAAAAGATAATTTAAGAGCTAGGAAGTTAGAATGGCGCTTTCGTCTTTTTAGGCGAAAAGGTATTTTGGTAATTTCATAATACAATTAAATTTGCTGAGGTCATAGCCTTTATTTAATTTGTTGAAAAATTAAATAAGTGAAATTACGTTTAAATATGTGTTCGCATATATTTAAATAAATTATCATTATTTTTTTAAATATTAATATATATATATTAAATATATATTAATTGATTTTAATTAAAATAATGATGAACTAAAATAAATATCTAATTTGGAATGTTTGGAAACAAGAGGAGTTTGGGTTGGAGCCCAAGCCCATTCCATATGGGAATAGGACAATTAAAAGATCACTATAAAAGAAAAGGTTTCATTGAAAAAGTTAAGAGATTATTCATTCATTACTTTTTCATTGAAAACAAAACCCTCCAACCCCAAATACTCTCTCCCACGCCACTTTTAGTTTTGATTTAAAATCAAATACTCCTCATTTCTTCTTTGTTCTTAAGGCTAAAGATGATCTAACAAATCCCTCTTTAGTTCCTTGCGATTATCTTCGTGTGGACTATATCGGTTCGATCCTACACTTGGGTCGATAGCAAAATAGGTTCAGAGACAACTTGGAGGAGCCTCCAAACGTGCATATGATTCCTTAAACCTTGAAAAGATTTTTCTAGAGATTTAATATATATATATATATATATATAGTATAAACTGTGATTTTTGTACCCGGATCTTGGTTCTAAGGAACGATCCATGTTGTTTATTCTTTTGTTATTCCGCTGCGTAATTGGGTCGTTCACTAACAGCATCACCTCATTTGATTCGGGTGGCATGACCCGATCTAAGCGGTCCAGCCTTTGGCTGACCGTTTGGAGAGTATTATTGAACCTCTCCAGGTAGCTCATGACGACTGGATCAAGCCATGAGTTTGAAGGGATATCCCCCACGAGATTTTGATGGGACTAGGGGCACTTCAGAAGAAGTGTCCTCTTGTACCTGGGGGATCTCTTCCTCACCATGATTGGTTCGCTCAGATTCAAATCGGCTAGTCATTTGCTGTAGTGGGACCGATTAGTCAGAGATTCTCCTGATGAAGAATAAGTACTAAATCAGGCCCTCCTTTTAGCGCCAAACTGTTGGTGCGTGATTTTAACACCAACTAAACGCACGTGGGAAATGCTGAGATGACTCAAAAGACACACGTGTATAGGGGTATTGAATTGAATAAAAGATGGAGAACAATGTTTAAAGTGGTTCAGATGCTTAAGTAAGCGAATCCTAAGTCCACTGGTATTGTATTAATATATGAGATCAGGTCGCGTTCAGCGAGCTGACTTACAAGAGATTACAAGAGAGATAGAGAAAGAGAGTATATTCCATTCCAGGGAGAAATTATCTAATCCCACAAACGGGAGAGGAACCCTCTATTTATAGTGGGATGAGTTAAGCTAATGATTACTAAATCTGCAAGTGGGTCAGATTGCCGTGCAAATCCTTCCTTGCATCTCGTTGTTCACCTGGTAGATTGATTTACTCGACGTGTGCAGGGATTGAACACGTGGAGCGTCTCCAGCCTTTCACCAGTCTGGCGCACACCCACTGCACTGGCAAGAGCATGCTGCTTGCGTCAGTGTGCGACGTGGCTGCGTCTGAATGGCTACAGAACTTACCTAAGCTTTGACCGCTTATGCTGACAGGTCTCTGCGTCAGCCCTACTTTTTCAAGCATAACAGACAACTACCTATATGAATGATGGAAGTGAGGCCGCTTTCCCTGAGAATCGAGCTAACTCTTGAAGACATTCATGAATTGGATAAAGCACATGGCTGTAAATGTGCTAGCTTAAAAAACTCCAATGATACCTGAAATTTTATGTGTTCTAAGTGGTTGTTGTGCCCTCAAGTTGTCTTGGTTCAAGACGTGATCACCTTGGCACTAGTGCAATAATTTCTTATGGACTAAGCAATGGTTCAAGCCATTGGCACCATTGTTATTCATAACATTTTTGTTTATACCCGATTAATCAATAAATTTTTTTTTTTAAATTTGTCTTTATTAAATAATAAGTGGGGGATTGTTGGTTTATTTTTTAATAAAGAAAATTTTATTAGAAAAACTGTTTTGACCACTTCTCACTCCTCAAATCATGAAGACTATATGAGCGTATTTTTAGACTTGAAAAAATCAACATTAACTTTTATTCTTTTATCCACTAGTAGATTTTTATGAGATATATTTGATTTTTTTAGAGGGATAAATAAGAGAAAATTTCTCTTCTTAAAAGAACAAGTTTTAGTAAAGCAAAAAGTTATCTCTGAGTTTATTATTGATTATCGGGTATTAACAAGGTAGTGTGAAGTTCTATCTTCTTACGTTATGCAGATGTAAAAAGAATATAAAGATAGTTTGGACTATTGCATCCATAAGACGTGTGCCGAGGAGTCTGCTGCACCGAAATTTCAACTGCAGAGGCACGAAATCATCTTAAGAGAGCGACATCTGTAACGTGCCTTATCCTAATCTGTTTTTGGTGGTATTGTTTCAGTAAATTTCTTGGGTTCAAGCAGTTGAAGTAAAGATGTATCACTCCATAGTTTATTATTATTTAACTAACAGTTTTTAATCTTGATAGGGACTAAAATAAGTGCATTATTACCTTGTTTTACATGGGGTAACAATAAATCATACATTAATTACCAACAACTTTTGAATTAATTATAGATACGATTTTCTTATTTCTTAATAAATAACTATTTTCTAATTTTCATTTATTTTGATAGTTATACCTCTTTTGTACATGTTGTATAATCACATTGTCTATTTATGTTATTAGAATCTTTTATTATGTTAATTTAGATAACTTTACTACATCAATAATTTTATTTTATATAAATTACATGCAATTTAATTAAATAAAAAACTAAAGAAAAACCCATCCATAAATCCATCCGACCCGACCCGACCCATTATTCAAATTCGAAATGGATAGGACCAAACCCGTGAACCCACCAAGCAATTGCCTCTCAATTACCCCATTACCCTAAACCAAATCGGGAACCCCAAAACCAGAACCCTCACGCACAATCTAAAACCTCCAGAACCCAATATTTGACACCAAACCAAAATTGACGGCGGTGAGTTCTAGGGTTTTTTTTTTTTTGGGGGGGGGGGGGGGGGGGGGGGGGGGGTTAAGTTCAATTTTGTTTACTGAAATGTGGGAAGCCATTCAGAATTAGATGAGTTTTACCATTATCGCTTATGGGATGCTTTGATTAGTTGTTGATTTGAAGTTTTTTCTTATCCTTTATGCATATCTACTGCCCTTATAGTAACAATTTAATGAATTATTGTATATTTTAGTTGGTCCTTTGTTTAATTAATGTTTATGCTACTAAATTTGATAATGGAGAAGGTGCAATGATTTAGCATTTTGATATTGAGAATATTCTGATTTATGCCTGGAAAATCTGCATAATTTTTTCCTTTTTTCTTTTTACTGCAATTGTTACATTTGCTATGATATTCCTTTGTTATTTTGTTGTGCAAACAATGGAGATAAGAATGCTGATTTCCAAAGTGATAAACTAATGTTTTTTATTTCACTTCTACCAATATATTAAACCTCGCTTGTCTTTATATTAGAATTTTCTTGAATCATATTAACAGATTGTGGGAGAAACGCATGTGATTGGATATTTGTTCATTCTGGTTTGTGGGTTGTGTTGCAGGTTAAGAATGCCAAAGGTTAAGACTAACCGTGTCCAGTATCCGGAGGGGTGGGAATTAATTGAGCCTACACTTCGTGAATTACAAGCCAAGATGAGAGAAGGTTTTTGTCTTCCTTTTTAAGAGAAATTATCATACATTCTTTCGAGATTAACTTAAATTCCATTGCATCTGTGTTTTTGCAATAATTTCTATAACAATTGGTTGCTATAAAATTTTAAGATACCTGAGGCGCTCCATAATAGTATTATCCTTAATTTTTCATTTTCTGAACTTGTGAAAATAAAATTTATATGTTTATGTTTTGGACAGCGGAGAATGATACACATGATGGCAAGAGGAAATGTGAGACGCTATGGCCTATATTTAAAATAGCACATCAGAAGAGCCGCTATGTTTTTGATCTTTATCACCGTAGGAAGGAAATATCTAAGGAGCTTTATGAGTTCTGTTTGGACCAAGGGTACGCTGACCGTAATCTTATTGCTAAATGGAAGAAGGTTTGTCTCATATCTCTATCTTAAACTGTGAAGTGTGTTCTGTTCGGTTCTTCATGAGTCAGACCATATAGTTTATATCTTTAAATCTCTGAACAGGCTCGCTTGGGTAATATGAATGAACTATTGAAAATTTTATTCAACTTATATACGTTTTACTTTGATTATTATGATATTTCAAAAGATCAAGGAAATGATACACAAACTTATTTTTCCTTTTCTGCTCATCTGTTTGGTTCTTCATGAGTTGGACCATATAGTTTATATCTTTAAATCTCTGAACAAGCTTGCTTGGGTAATATGAATGAGCTATTGGAAAGTCTTATTGTTCAATTTAAGTTGTGGTAAATATATAATGTCTGAAATAGAATTATTCAACTTATATAGGTTATTTTTATTATTACAATATTTGACTTGTCGAAAGATCAAGGAAATGATACACAAACTTATTTTTCCTTTTCTGCTCATTAAGAAGTTTCCCCATTTTTCCTTGTTTAACTTGGGAAATATTAGCATAGTTTTGTAGTTTCCGATATTTAACATATATTTTCCGAATTGCAGCCGGGTTATGAACGCTTGTGTTGCTTAAGATGCATGCAGCCACGCGATCACAACTTCCAAACAACCTGTGTGTGTCGAGTACCCAAGAATCTTCGGGAGGAGAAGGTTATAGAGTGTGTCCATTGCGGTTGTAAGGGTTGTGCCAGCGGCGATTAATATGACTGATAGAATGATAGATGCCGAGGCTACGCATATTTTGGTATCAAAATATTGCTCGGTTTCAGCTACCTGCAGCTGGTGTTAATCAGTCTTCATCTTTGTCACCAATGAGTTGTATTGAATATGAGTAGATACTGTAACAGACCAAATTAGATTAAGTTTGTATAAGTGAGATGGACTTCTATTTCTGTAATTTCATTTTAATTGCTTCTAACACCAAAGTAACTTTATTTTAAGAGTTGTGCTATTGCATAGATTCATATGGTTTAAGAATTCCTTGAGAGTCAGGCTTTTAAAACTAACAATAAGAAAGGTGTATTATAAAATTTTACAGATTTATGTGATATTAATGTCAGTGGAATTTCTTGAGGATTTACGACATCAAACATGATTTTTGTTTTATTAATAAAATTATATTGAATTATATATATATAATAGCTTTTTAAATAAATTTATCATGACTAAGCCTCTTATATGCCCATATCTTGATAAATTTTTAATCAGAAAAATCAATTGTATTGAAAAATAAAATGTTTAAACGATTTTTAATATTAGTATTACACCAAAAAAAAAAAAAAAAAAAAACTTTTTATAAATTTAAACCAATTGGTTTAGTTAGGATTAAAAATCTAATAGATACTCGTTAATTTTACTTTATTTTTTCAAATCCAAAAATATTTGGTTTGGTTTGGTTTGGATTTAGCGAAATCAATCCAACAATATGAACGATCTTAAGAGTGTATTTGGTTCAGGGAATGTTAGATTACTGGAATCTTATATTACCTTGAAGGGGCGTTTGGTTGGAGGTAATTTAAGATTTCTAGGATTATGTCATCTTATATTACTTAATTATCATGTTTGGTTGTCAATAATATAAGATTTCGGTAATCTTGCATTACCAATAATTGTTACTGTTGTTAATATTGGAGGTAATCTGATTACCTCCATTTTCTTAGGTATTGTAAGATTACGAAGGTAATATTATTTTTGTTACAATTTTATCCCTTATTAATACAAATTTTGGACAATAATGCCCCTGTTTTAAAATTAATTTACATTAATATATCATTTCAATTTTACCCTTGTTCAATTAAGTTTTTGGACAATAATACCCTTATATTTAAAACAAATTATAGACCACCACCGCCACCCAACCACCACCGTCGACAGTAGACCAACCACCACGGACCGCCGTCGAAAAGTTGTCAAAGTCCTTAAAAATGACCGAGAGTCGTTGGGAGGCTTCGATATGACCGTTTCTAGCCATATTGATGGCCGAAAATGGCCCAGAATAGATCTGGCCGTTAATGGCCAAATGTCGCCCAAATCTGGCCGCTAATGGCTAGAATAGATCTTGCCATTTTCGACCAGATCTGGCTGTTTTCGGCCAGAAACGGATGAGCTACTTACGACGACCTTCAGCGACTTCCGGTGATGGTTTGCGATGGCAGCAGGCGGCAGCAGGGGTGGGGTGATTTTGTCATAAATTAGAGTTTTATATAAGCGGGGTGTTTTAGCTAAATCTGAAATATTGGGGGTTAAAAAAATTATTCAAAAATTAAAAATAAAAATAATATTATATTAATATTTAAAAAGAGGGCAATTTAGTAATTTAAATAACATACCCACCAATTTATTCCCCCTAACCAAACATATTAATATAGCATACCCACCAACTAACCAAACACATTTTTCTAAAGATTCCCAATAATCTTTTAAAGGATATTATTCCAAAAGGAGAAACAATAAGAGAAAGTGGCTCCGTTTGGTCAAAATTTGGGGGTTTTGAGAAAAGTTTTTTGAAAAAAGTTGAATTGGGCGGGTATTACGATGTAGGATTTATAAATTAATAAAAGACCCCCTATATTTGTTTATTTACAAAACACCCCCTATAATAAAATCTTAAAAGTTAACAAAAACACCCCCAACCCAATGTCAAATACAGACAGCCGGCCACCACCGCCGGAGGGTGGCCGGGTCCGATATGGCCTTTGCCGGCCAGATCTACGGCCAGATCTGGCCGTATTTTCTCATCAACGACGACCAACAAACGATCGTCGTTGATGGACCGTTTGTTGGCCATCGTTATAAACCGTTACGGCCAAAGATCTGGCCGTCAACGGCCAGATCTTTGGCCTTAGATCTGGCCTTTTCCGGCCAGATCCACCGTGGATCTGACCGGAAAAGGCTAGATCGGCGCACTACCGGCCAGATTCAGCCGATAGTGCGCCATCCTAACAGATTCTGGCCATTTTCCGGCAGTGGTGGTCGGAATCTGGTAAATATGAATTAATGGGGTGTTTTTGTAATTTTTAAAAATATATTTAGGGGTATTTAATTAAATTATCAAATTTAAGGGGTTTAAAAAAAGTTGAATAATATTGGAAGTAGTATTCCCAAAAATCTGAGTTTTTGGATATTTTACTGTTTAACTTTTTTGGGAATACTAAAAGTAGTATTCCCAAAACTGAAACAAACGCAGCCAGTATTTTTAGCCCCCACCTAATTGATATTTAGTCTTAACCCCCCATTTTTAAATTTATTTTTTGTTTTGACAAATTTAACCTTAATTTAAATTACTAGAAATAACATTATAATTTCTAAATACACTCAATACTCTATTTTATATTTTTGTTTTAATTTTAACATTTAATCTTTTTTTTTTTTTTGGGTAACTGGTAATTTTATAAATAATAAAGAATAACAACTAAACAGGGGAACCCCTAATCGAATCGACCCTTGAAAAGAACAAGAAGAATCGAAAACAAAAGCAACTAGGATAAACAATCCTTTACAAGAGAACCTATTTCGAGGACAAAAAACACCAGAGAGGCAATCGAGCAAAATCCTTCACACAAACATCGCATCTTCGCAACTCAAAAAATGAAAACAAATGCTCCATCTTGCAACAACCAAACACAAAGAGCCAACATCACCAAGCAAATGGTTCAAGCTGACAGTCCACCTCCAAAAACTTGGACAAAAGCTTTTATAATCCAACGCAAAATTCACATAGCACAAAACAAAGCAAAGAAAGAGAGAATTTATAGGCATTTTCCCCACACCACATTGAAAACCATGTCCCCTAAAAAGCACCCCAACCAATCCTCACTTTCACTCCCAAAAACCCCACACTTAAAGACCTAACCCAAATCAATCGTATCCATTTCCATCACCACCATCATCAATATAGCAACTAGGAATGTCCCATTCCTCAAACACTATACGGACTCTAACTGAATCCTTAAATCAAAGGCTAATAAGCTTAAGCCTCACAACACTAAGAATGCGATTCACAACCCGATGACAATTCTTCCTAACATTTTTAAACAGTCTTTGATTTCTCTCCTACCAAATCCCATACACAATAGCCGCAAGAAGAAGGCAATCAATGATTGATCTAACCCCTTTCCCCTTGAAATTACTAGCGCACCAGGATATTACATTATCCTACGCTCCCACTGCAACTCGAAAGTTACCCTTGGTTTGCACCATCTACTAAACAAAAGAGGAGAAAAGGCATTCAAAAAAGAGATGGTTGTATGAGTCCAAAAGGCCATTACACAAAACATAATTTAAACTCATTGGGTCCACCCAAGCACTCATCCGGTCTTGTGTGAGTAATTTACCCTTAATGGCTAACCACATGATAAACGAGTGGCGAGGAATACTTTGGCTAAACCAAATAAGCCAGTACCAAGAAACAATGGATGAGGACGGCGAAAGATCATACCAAGCTTGATTGACCGAGAACTTAACTGATTTACCTTCCACGGTCTTCGAGACCACCATATCCCTATTACTAGAGGGAGGAATGCAAGGGGCTTGATTGATAACTTGAGGGAATCGCTCTCTAATAACATCCGGCCATGTTCATTGACCATTTGATAAAATCTTGCTCACCATGGATCCTTGGCCTATTCTCGACTCATACACTGATCTGGTTGAGATAAATTCATCAATGAGACCTAACAGATGCCAAGAGTCATGTCATAAAGAAGTCAACTCACTATTGCCTAAAGCATAAACACTATGTTTTCAGACTTTATCCCTCATATTAAGAAGTTTCCTCCATCCCCAGCTAGCATCCCAAGGGATTTTGAGACTCCAAAAACTCTTTCCATGCAATCTAAACGAGTGAATTCATTTCACCCAGAGAGAGTCCCTACTTGTGATGACATTCCAAAGGTGGTAAGTCATAAAAGCAATATTCCAAGACTTCAAGGGGTGAATGCCTAATCCCCTGCCAGTTTTAAGGCTGCATAAGTCTTTTCAAGCCACTTTAACCTTGCCATTCATAAGCTCGTTACCTGACCATAGAAAAGCTCACTTTTCAAAGGATTTGGATGTAGGCCTGATGCAAGAGCAAACTCCGTCAAAACATCCCTATGGACCTTAGCAGAGAAATAGTCCCTATGACAAAACAAGAAGAGGACATCCGCGAAGCATAAATGGCTTATCCTTTGATTTTTACATCTAAAATGGAACTTAAACCCTTTGTTCTCCCTGATCTTCCTATTAATGATCAAGCATAAGACTTGCATAACAAGGGTAAAGAGATACGGGGATAAGGGGTCTCTTTGTCTAAGGCCCCTTTTATCAGGGAAAAAACCATGGAGCTCACCATCAATCAACACTAAGAAGGATGTTGTAGTCACACATTCCCGTATCCAATGAATCATTAGGCTAGGGAACCTGAAACAGCTTAATGGTTTCCATGAGAAACTCCCAGTCAACACTATCGTAAGCTTTTTGGATATCCACCTTGAATGCACAATGAGCATCCCCAGTATCTTTGTGATAATTTTGAAAATCTCTTAGGTAAACATAATATTGTCACTAATTCTTCTCACTCGGATAAAGGCTCACTGCGTCTGATCAATAATATCCTCAAGACAATCTTTAATCCAGTTTGCCACAATTTTAGAGATATACTTGTACAACACATTACAGCAGGAGATAGGTCGAAAGTCACTCACAAGAGACGGGACTTCCATTTTAGGAACCAGGGCAATGACAGTGGCGTTGACTTCCTTAAGCATCCTCCCACTTCTAAAGAAATCAATCACAACAAAACAAACATCTTTGCCTACTAAATTCCAAGCTACCTTAAAAAATTTAGCGGAATAGCCATCCAGGCCTAGAGCTTTTTCATCCCTCATAGAAAAGATAACACTCCTAACCTTCTCATCAATGATTGGCCTAACCATTCTTGAGCAATTAGAATCTAAAACTTGCCTATCAAATAAGTCTGGGCACCCCCTCAATACAAGAGACGGGAGGAGTCATACCTAGCAATTGCTTGTAGAACGACATGAAAGCACTCCCCATGTCCCGAGA